TGGAGGACACCCCTCACATCTCCTGTCTCGAGGGGGTCCTGGAGGACGCCCCTCACGCTGCCCGTCTCGAGGGAGTCCTGGAGGACGCCCCTCACGCCGCCCACCTGAACGGTGGTCCTGTACTGGACGGCCTCCACGCCGCCCACCTGAACGATGGTCCTGTACTGGACGGCCTCCACGCCGCCCACCTGAACGATGGTCCTGTACTGGACGGCCTCCACGCCACCCACCTGAACGATGGTACTATACTGGATGGCCTCCCGGTCGCCCACCTGACCTGCTCTGAGCCAGTGGCTGGTCTCCCGGCCATCTGGACATTTTATGTTTCCCTACTTGGTTTAGTTCCCGGGCCTTGTCCTGTTTTGGTCCTTGTGTGTCTTTGTTCAGGCCCACCACCCTTGCAGTTCCTCCCTCCGCCCGCTCTAGTTTTCTGGGAGGGGGTTTCTTGGGGACGCCAGGGGGTGTCCTTGAGGGGGGGATACTGTAGGGATGGCACAATCTAGTGGGCCTTCCCCCTGTCTGTTCTCCCTTGTGTCTGTATTGATTGTCTGATTATCGTCACCTGTGTCATGTCCTGGTTGTGTGTATATAAAGTCTGTCTGTCAATTCTGTCGTTGTCGGTTCGTCGTTGGGTATTGCCTGTCCTGTCCTGCCTGTCTGATCCTGTTCTTGAGTCCTTGTTGTAAATTTTGCTGCCATGTCAGCCTTTTGATTTATTATTATTATTATTATTATTAATAAAAGTATTTTATTTGATACGTCTGCCTCCTGAGTCCTGCCTGCGCAACTGGGTTCTTCTGTCCTGATCTGCCTTGAAAACCCTGACAGGGGACACCATTTGAGGATAAAATCAGAGGAAGAACTGCTGGGACCAACTTCCTATTTGAAAAAAGCATCCCTTTGGTTTTGTCAGCATTTAGGACAAGTTTGAGGCGGAACAAATCTGTCTGGATGTAGTTGAATGCAGATTTCAAAAGCTGGAAAGCCTTAGTAACAGTTTTAGCTCGACAGTAAACAACTGTGTCATCAGCATAGAAATGTATGGATGCATTAGGGATGTTTTTACCTACATTATGTATGTGGATTGTAAAGAGGATGGGTCCTAAGACTGAGCCTTGTGGTACACCATTGTTGACTGTTAAATAACTGGAGGAAGTACCATTATGTTGAACACATTGCTTCCGGTCTGAGAGATAGAGAACCAACCAATGGTGTGTCCTGAGAAACCAATTTCTGAGAGTTTATAACACAAGATGTTATGATTCACAGTATCAAAAGCTTTACACAGGTCTAAGAAAAGTGCAGCACAATAATCCTTAGCATCCAGTGCTTCAACGATGTCATTAAGAACCTTCAGTAAAGCAGTGGTTGTGCTGTGTTGTTTCCTGAAACCAGATTGATGTGGAGGTAAGATGTTAAATGAGTCCAGGTAATTTTTGATTTGCGAGTTTATCAGTTTTTCTAGAACCTTGGCTAAAATGCAGAGTTTAGAGATTGGCCGATAGTTGTTCAGTGAGGTGGGGTCTCCTGCCTTCAGCAAAGGAAGAACAAAGGCTGTTTTCCAAGTGTCTGGGATGGAGTTTTGTCTTATGGAGAGATTGAAGATGTGGGTCACAGGGACTGTGATGATATGAGCAGCCAGCCTTAAGAAATAAGGTGGAAGTTAATCTGGACCTGCAGATTTTTTTAGGATCAAGATCTTTTAACAGTTTATTAACCTCACTGACTTAGAACGGAGAAAAAGAGAAGCTGTGTTTAACTGAGGATTGACTCGTAGGAGGAATTTGATTTGTAGAAGTTTGGTTATTAAGTGAAGTGGCTGATTTTCCATTAGTAACTGTGTCAAATAAAGAACTAGAAGCAACAAAATGTTTGTTGAAACAGTTCAGGATCTCGTGCTTATTTGACACAGGAACAGAGTTAACAAGAAGTTATGATGAGAGGTCAGATGATTCTGGGGTGCCTGAGAGAGATTTGATGGTTTTCCAGAATCTGTTGTGGTCATTTAGATTTTTGAAGGTCTGAGATAAGAAATAGTTGCATTTTGCTGCTTTGACAGCAGTTGTACATTTATTCCTCATCAGTCGAAAACTCAACCAATCAGTGTCTGAGTCAGATTTTCTCGCTGTGGCCCAAAGATGGTCTCTCATGTGCAGGTCAGCTAGCTCTGGAGTAAACCAGGGGCTGTCTCGTCCCTTTATTCTTAACTGATGAAAAGGAGCATGTTTGTTCACAAAATAAATGAAACTATTATGAAAATATTTCCAAGCGGAGTTCACGTCATCAGTTAACAGAATACGATGCCAGTCAAAGTGAGACAGATCCCAGAGGAATGACTGTTCACAAAAATGTTTCAGATCCCTTTTTTGAATTAATCTGGGCTTAGAAGGTGGAAGTTTAATATCTCTCAAAGCCGCTGTCACACAATGATTACTCAAGATACTGGCAAATACACCTGTACCAGGGAATTTGTAAGGCATATTAGTTAGAAATAGGTCTAAGATGGAGGAATTTTCAGGACGGTTTTTGTTTAATCTAGTGGGAGAGTTGATCAATTGGGTAAGATTGAGAGACAGGCAACATTCCTTGAATTTGCTTAGTCTCTTTAGAATTTGTTCAATTAGCTTTGTAGAGATCTAGTAGAGTGCTGTATGAATGGGTAAATGAGGTCACAGATTGTGTTGTAAAGTGCTTTGAGTGTCTGGATAAGATAGAAAGGCACTATGTAAGTGTAGTCCAGTAACCATTTACCATTCTCCCTCTATCTCCTGACACGTTTCCCTCCTTGTGGTCTTCGACTAACAGTAGCACAATTTCCGCTGACACCCTGTTTGTCAACAGCACCGGTGGCGGTCTTTGTTAGCCCGGGCCTCAACCGATCCGGTATGGTTTTGCTTTAATTAACTCTCATTTTGGTTTTGGCAAAAGTGTTTTACATTGGATGCCATTCCTGACATAGCCATCACCATTTACCCGGGATTTGGACCAGCACAAGAGATACACTGACTTGTGCTCCCTAGTGTCTGGTTTTTGCAAGCTGTTTAAAGCAAGTGGTTCAATAAACTAAAGAATTTGATGTAAAAACACAAACACCTTTTGATTCCAGAAAAGCATAGTGTCATGTTGAGCGATATGTGTCTGTGCCCTCAGTATTTGGACCAATTCAAGAGGATCCATCAAGACATGATCCATCAGGAAATTATCAAACCTCTAATTAAAGTGATTTCCATTCAGGTTAGAGCCAGGCTTTTGTCGGGTCTCTTTTGTTAGGATACAATGAATAAAACTGCATCTATAGATACATGCTTCTTTAGTTTACAGATTATTTTATTTTGACACTAATCTTTTGGGTGATGTGTAAAGCAGATCTTTATTCTCCTCTGTAAACTAAGAAAGGTGCTTAGAATTTTTTTGCTGCTGCAGGGAGTGCATCAGTGTGGTCGATCCCACTCCGTTCTTCCAAAGCTGTGTTTACGACATGTGCCAGTTCAACGGGCAGCAGCATGTGCTTTGTGACCAGCTGCAGGCCTATACCGATGCCTGCCAGCATGCCGGAGCTAAGGTCCAACAGTGGAGGACTCCAGACTTCTGCCGTAAGTCCTCCAAGAGCCCTGATGTCTTCTGGTCTTCAACACTCTGTGGCTTTACAATAAAGTTAAACACAAAATAGGAATTACATCAGCAAAACACAAAATAGGAATTACATCAGCAAAATCATTAAAGATAGTTGCTGAATACAAAACTTGATGCCCTTTAGCTGCTTTTAACTTTTAGCTAATATTTTACACATTTTAACTTTCAGCTATCATTCAGCTCCTTTTAGCTTTTAGCTACATGTCTGCTACTGTTGGCTTTCAGCTACCATTTTGCTACTGTTAACTATGAGCTACTATTTTGCTATTGTTGTCATTTAGCTACTATTCTGCGTCTGTTAGCACTTAGCACACACTCTGGCCTCCCTTTTTTAAGAGGGGAACCACCACCCCAGTCTGCCAATCTAGTGGTACTGCCCCCTGATGTCCACACGATGTTGCAAAGGCATGTTAACCAAGACAGCCCCAGCTGTTCAGCAATTTAGTTTGAGATTTTTTACCAAACATCAGCAAGGTCTTTGTTTTTATTTTGACCCCAACTCTCTTCACTGCCTTGTCCTAGCTGGTTTGATCTTTCTTTGTTTTCATTCTGCCTCACTTCATCTCCCTGCCCTGGCTCACCTTTGAACTCTGTTTGTCCCTCCATGCAGCCCTGGGCTGCCCTCCAAACAGCTCTTACTCCTTGTGTGTGAGCTCATGCCCTGAGACATGTCTGGGTGTTGTCGGGCCCCTGGGATGCGAGGACATCTGTGTGGAGGGTTGTCAGTGTGACCTGGGCTTCATCCTCAGCAATGACAAATGTGTGGCCCTGAAAGACTGTGGCTGTGTGGACACCAGTGGGACCTACCACCCTGTGAGTGGAAATCAAACTGCCTGCTCTTTCTATTCTGTCCTGTTGTGTCTTTACATTGTCAGGGACAGTCACTGATCTGTACAATAAACCTCCTGTCTCTCAATTAAATGGTAATACAATGTCTAATGTGTGTGATCATACCCAAGTACTTGGTCTCCAGCTACACATGCTTGGGTGTGCACCTGAATGACAACCTCAGATGGGGCAACAACATCACCAGCCTGATCAAGAAAGCTCATCAGTGACTCCACTTTCTCATGCAGTTGAGGCGAGCTGGTCTGGGAAGCTCAGTCCTCACCTCCTTCTACAGGTGTGCAGTGGAGAGCATCCTGTGCTCCAGCATCAACGTGTGGCACGAAGGCTGCACAGCTGTAGAAAGAAAAGTTTTGCAGAGAGTGGTGAAGGCTGCACAGAAGACTGTTGGAGTCAGCCTCCCTACTATCACAGACATTTACACCTCCAGATGCAGGAAGAGGACCACCTGCATCATGAAGGACCCCACTCACCCAGCACACACACTTTTTGCTCTGCTCCCCTCAGAAGATTGCAGAGCATTAAGTGTAGAACCACTAGATTGAGGAACAGTTTCTACCCTAAAGCTGTTAGACTCAAGAATCCACAATCAGGATAATCACCGTGAAGAAGAAAAAAAGAGTCACTGTAAAGTCACTTTACTTGGTGATATGTGACAAATCTATGCTGCTGATTATCCATGCTGCTGATCTCATGCTGCTGCTGATCTCATGCTGCTGTACTCATTCATACCCATCTGCTCACCATAGACTGATGTTCGGGCTGCTATTGTTATGCCGTATTGTTGTGCATTATTAGTGTTTAGCATATATCTTAGTGTATATCTTAGATCCTTATTTAATGTTCTTTTTACACTTTAATTTTTTGCTATTGTTGGGTGTTACTGGGACCCTCTGTACATAATTTTGTTCCACCTCATGTACCACATGTGATGAGAATGACAATAAACCTACTTGAACTTGAACTTGATGTCCAGGTGGGGGAGGACTGGTTTTTGGAGGGATGTGAGAAGAAGTGCGAGTGTCTCAGTGGAGGTCTGATCCACTGTCAGGACAGCAGCTGTAAACCAGCAACTGAGAGCTGCCAGCTGCACGATGGAGAGTACGCCTGCAGACCCGTTGGTATGTCATAAACTCACACCCTGTTTCCTGATGTCCAGTCCGTTCTCACACTCTGATGACAGCCAGGTTGTCTGAGAGAAGCCAGAGGACCATCATCTGTGCTTGTATGTCTATCTGCGAGCAAAATATATCCTGGTGGGGTTTAACTAGCAGAAAATACTCATTACATCTCCAATAGAACTTCTGAAATCATCCCAATTAAAGATTATGACTTTACAAAAGACCAAATAACTACAACTCAGTGAGTTTGACGGATACTGAGCTAAAGTTTGGTGTTAGTAGCTGAGGATTCAGTCCACCATATGTAGTGAGCATGAAATGTTGAAACATCATTTTATCAAAGGTTCCACAATCTGTCATTTGTCAGCATAAAATGATCTTAGTTTAAAACTCTGTAATGAATGGTGGCGGGTGATGTGAATCCTTTCAAAGAATGCTGAGGTTTTAAAACATACGGAAGCTGTGTGGAGCAGCAGTGTCCCTGCAGGTTGGACTGAGAGGAACCAGGTTCTGACTTGTTCTTTGTAGAATTTTACCTGCTCACTTCTCTGTTGATGCCGCTGCTTGTGTTAAACAGGAAATGGGATCTGCTCCATCTCCGGTGATCCTCACTACACCACCTTTGACAAATACACCCACCACTACATGGGCGCCTGCTCCTACACCCTGACCAAACCCTGCAACGCCTCCTCTGACCTGCCACAATTCACAGTGGAGACCCAGAACGAGCACCGAGGAAGCAACAGGAAGGTCTCCTACGTCAGAGCTGTGCAGATCAAAGTCAACAATGTCACCGTCATCCTTGGCAAGGGACGCACAGTACAGGTGGGTTTACCTGCCTGCATGCTGAAATCACGTGACACGTTACAGCCAATACCGAAACTTGACACCGAAAGAAGAGTGACATTTCAATACATACACAGACTGGTGCAGTTCGGTCGGTGCCATAAAAGAACCTCGGTTCGGTACTCAGCCCTAGGTGGGTTACCTGTCTGTGTCCAGATGAGTTATCTGCCTGTATCCAGGTGGGTTAGTATCTGTGTCCAGATGGGTTACCTGTCTGTGTCCAGGTGGGTTACAGTCTATGTCCAGGTGGGTTACCATCTCTGTCCAGATGGGTTACCTGCCTGTGTCCAGGTGGGTTACCATCTGTGTCCAGGTGGGTTACCTGTCTGTCTCCAGGTGGGTTACTGTTTGTGTCCAAGTGGGTTACCTGTCTGTGTCGAGTTGGGTTACCTGTCTGTCTCCAGGTGGTTTACCATCTATATCCAGTTGGGTTATCATCTTTATGTCCAGGTGGGTTACCAGCTGTGTCCAGTTGGGTTACCATCTATGTCCAGGTGGGTTGCCATCTGTGTCCAGGTGGTTTACCATCTGTGTCCATGTGGGTTACCATCTGTGTCCAGGTGGTTTACCATATGTGTCCACGTGGGTTACCTGTCTGTGTCCAGGTGGGTTACAGTCTATGTCCAGGTCGGTTATCATCTGTGTCCAGGTGGGTTTCCATCTGTGACCAGGTGGGTTACATGTCAGTGTCCAGGTGGGTTACTATCTGTGTCCACATAGGTTACCTGCCTGTGTCCAGGTGGCTTACAGTCTATGTCCAGGTGGGTTACCTTCTGTGTCCAGGTGGGTTACCATCTGTGTCCACATAGGTTTCCTGTCTATGTCCAGGTGGGTTACAGTCTATGTCCAGATGGGTTACCTTAGCTAACAGCTAAGAGAAGCATAAGTACCTATATATACTGTATGTTTGTATACAAATACAAAGCCAGTTTGTGTGAGTGTTAAATCCACCAAGACACAACATATTTGAGGACACGAGACAAAAAATGAGGGTTCAAAAAATATTTTATTTTTAAACTCTCCTGATCCTTTGAGTTGGTTCACCTGCTTTTGATTCTCTGTGAAGAGAAAAAAGAGAGAGTTAAATGCCCTCAATTACCCGTGTCCCCAAAAAAACAAAACTCCAAAAGTATTAACTGAAAGTTGGACCTGGTGAGTCGATTAAACAGAACAAAACGGTACAACAGGGAGCCAACCCTATACAGGGCCGTCGAAGCCCCTACTAGTATCGGACTAAAGCAAAAAAACTCTAAATGCAAAAGAAAGATCGAAAACAGGACAACCGATCCCACCAGGCCAAATTCGCAACGAAAAAACAAGCAAACGAACGAGGTCTAGCAGAACTACCTCATGACAGGCTGGAGACATCAGCTGCGGTCTGCAGCAACTGTAGACGTACGCGCACCACGTCAAGATGCACACCGGCAGTGGTGGAGCGAGTGGAAGCGAGTGAAAAAAAAAAAACGGGCTCTCTAACATGTCAAAACCCAGCCTATTTATAGAAGGACCAGCAGCGCCATCAATTAACGTAATCACTACTGATTATAAAAGATTAGAAATGATCCCATCTCCAAAATATATTAACCAAAGATCATTCGATTAAAGTCTAAACAAAGCAATCGTAAAAAGAAAGAAAAAATAATTATAATGTGCCCGAAGCACATAACACCCCCACCCAAAGACTCTGAATGGGGAGTGATGTAACCGGTTAGAAAAAAAACTCAATCCATTCATAGAAAAAGAAACATAGGACTAAAGTTGGGAGAGTGCATCGGCCACTACGTTGTCCTTACCACGGACATGTTTGATAAAGATGTTAAATAATTGAAGTCGCAGAGACCAGTTCATCAAGCGGCGGTTCTTATTATGCATGCGATCCAGAAAAACTAATGGGTTGTGGTCCATAAAAACAACCACAGATCCGCTAGAACTGCTTACATACACTTCAAAGTGTTCCAAAGTCATGACCAATGCTAATGCTTCTTTTTCAATGGTGGAATACCATTTCTGATATTTATTAAGCTTTTTCGAAAAATAACAAACCGGATGTTCCACCCCATCAGTACCATCCTGGAGGAGGACAGCTCAGACGCCAGAATCACATGCGTCCACAGCCAACTTAAATGGTACATCAAAATGAGGAGCAGACAACACAGGAGCGTTCACTAGCAGATGTTTAATCTGCTCGAAAGCAGATTGGCACCGCTCAGACCAAATAAAAACTACTTTAGGACTAAGTAGATCTGTTAAAGGAGCAGCCACAGAGGAAAAGTTTTTGCAGAACCCCCTGTAGTAACCAACCATTGCTAGATAGCGGCAAAGTTCAGTACGAGTGGTGGGTCCCGGAACAGACAAAATAGCCTCTACTTTAGCCTCAACGGGGCGCACTTGACCTCCCCCCACCCTTTTTCCAAGATAGGTCATTATCGCTTGGCTGAATTGGCATTTAGAAAGGTTAATTGTCAAATTAATGACTTCCGGTAAGATGGCGCCCGTGTACATGGCTTGCAAACCACCTCTGCTGATGGTGTTAGGATTATTTTTGTTTTTTGCATTTCATATCTGTGACATCAACTCTCTGCTGGTGTATGACAGACAACAACTTTTGGATCTTCGTTTATCTGTCACTGATGTCGCTTATTTAGACTATTATCAACGTACCTCTGCCCCCCCTGCTGGCGGACGTGTCAGCTTACCTTCACTGCGCTCCTCACCTGCCTGCCCGGAGATATCGCTTCAGACGCCGGGGAAAACGTGTTGGTCAGCTGGTGAAGCTTAAAGGTCTGCGCGCTGCATCTTCCTCTTCAGCTGGCGATCATGGTTTCCATCGCCAGCTTCCTGTGTGCCAGGACCAGGTAACCAACGGTAGTTGTCAGCCGGTGCACTGCTCGGACCGACCTGGAGGGGCTGTTCATGAAAATCTGCGGCCATTAGCGCACGCTCCCTCCACCGCTGCTGGCTCCACTTCGGAAGGTATCCGAATGTGTTTGGTCAACGCAAGATCTGTTACCAACAAAACTTTTATCCTCAGGGATTACTTTCATAAGCTCGAGTTAGACTTTCTGTGCATCACAGAGACTTGGATGTCTCCGGGTGAGTTCAGCGCCTTGACAGAATTATTGCCACTGAACTGTTTGTATTTTAACGCCCCGCGGCCATCAGGCCGGCGCGGTGGTGGATTATTAACAATATTCAAATCAACATTTGACTGTAAACAACTGCCCATCCCAGTTTCCCGCGCCAGCTTTGACCTGAGCATCTTTGAACTCGGACATTCACCTCCGACTTTATTTGCACTCGTCTACTGCCCACCTCGATCTAAGGACTTCATAAATGAGTTTTCTGACTTCTTGGCTGAAATCACACCAAAACATGAGCATGTTTTCATTAATGGGGGCTTTAATTTGCACGTGTGCTGTCCTGAGAAGCCCTTGGTTAAGGACTTTTTAGATTTATTGGACTCATTTAATCTAACTCAGCATGTAAACGGTCCCACCCAAGAGCGTGGACATACACTGGACCTTGTTTTAACTAATGATGTGACTGTTAATAATCTTGTTATTGGTAATAATGGTTTTTCAGACCACATGCCAGTCCAGTTTGAGTTCACCCTCCCCCATCTAACTCCTAAGTCGTGCATTTGTGCTCGTAGGACCCGGGCTATTAACCACTTCACTTCCACACGTTTCACAGATGTTTATAACTCTGAAATGATAATTCAGCCCCCAGTGTTTCTCACCACCACTGAGGAGCTGACATCCCAGTTCAACTCTGTCTGCTTAAAAACTCTGGATCATGTTGCGCCTGTTTAAACTAGAAAATCAAAACTGAGAGCAGAACCTTTGCTGAGTGACGTCACCAAGGCCGTTAGGCAGAAATGTAGGAGGGCAGAACGAAAGTAGAGGAAAGACAGGCTGCAGGTCTCTTTTCAAATACTTAAAGAGAGTTGGTGCCATTATCAGAAAGCAGTGAAAGCTGCTAAATCCAAATACTTTTCTGATATAATTTTCTCAAACTCTCGCAACCCACATATCCTCTTCTCCACCCTAAACTCTGTTCTCCACCTCACTGAACCATCACCTCTGGAAGCCTCGACTGAGCTGTGCGACAACTTCTTACATTTCTTTTTGGAAAAAATTGCGACCACCCGGGCTCTCATTTCTCCTCCAACTCATGACCCATCCATCCCACCTCAATCTGTAGCTCTATTTGACCATTTTGAACCCATCACTCTATCTTCTCTAGAGCAGGTCATGTGCAGCTTGAAACCTTCTGGCTCCCCCTTTGATGTGGTCCCCCCTGGACTACTAAAGAAGGTTTTTCCAACTCTAGGTCCGTCCATTCTTGCTATAGTAAACAGTAGTTTATCCACTGGCGTGGTGCCAAAATCCTTTAAACATGCTGCTGTCCAGCCTCTCCTGAAAAAAACAAACATTGACCCCTCAGTCGTATCCAACTACTGGCCTGTATCCAAACTCCCATTTGCTTCTAAACTACTGGAGGAAATAGTCGAGTCCCAGTTGAAGTGCTTCCTGGAGGATCACGCCATCTTAGAGCTATTCCAATCTGGCTTTAAACCTCTCCACAGCACTGAAACTGCCCTGCTGAACGTCTTTAACGACATCTTCAGATCCACAGATACTGGTGATTCTGTGCTGCTTGTCCTGTTGGACCTCACAGCCGCCTTTGACACCATCGACCATGAGATCCTCATTGCTAGGTTGGAGCAGTGGGTGGGCATCACAGGATCAGCCCTCAATTGGTACAGATCTTACCTCGCTGACAGATCCTTTTGTGTCTCCATCAAGGATTTTAGTTCCGCAAAGGCAGAGCTTAAATGGGGGGTTCCGCAGGGGTCCATCCTGGGTCCCCTCTTATTCTCTTTATACCTGCTGCCACTTGGTGCTATTTTCCGGAAACACAACATGCCTTTCCACTTCTATGCCGATGACTGTCAAATTTACTTCCTCCTAAGACAC